ATTTCGTGGTCGCTGCAGCCCAGGCTGCCCTTGAGCTTCACATTCCCCACTAACGCCTCCTTCTTGGTGAGAACAAGGTCCAGCATAGCACCTCTCCTCATTGGCTTCTCTACCACTTGGAGAAGGAAGTTATCATTGGCGCAGTTTTGTTCTGCTTAAATGACCAGCTGCACCCCATTACAGTACCCTCATTATTATTTTGTTGTCTTTGTGTTTTGGATACTGGTATTTTCATTATCAAGTCCTCTGGCATTAGAGCGGGTCTGTTCACCAGGGTATTAAGGCCGGACACCTGCATCCGAACAGGGCGGGCATCCAGCCGGCAGGTGCCCCTTTCAGCACAGCCTTCTTCACACCCTTCGGTGCAATCTCATTTAGTTTTCAGAGAAGATATTTCTTGTAGCAGGCAGCTCATTTTGCTGGGTTCCTCGGGTGATCCTGGTAGACGTGTTCCTCTGCGTGTCCTGTCGTTAGGTGAGCCATTAAGTTGTGCAGTTACCAGGGGGTTTTAGCAACAAATGGGAAACTATATCCATTTAGATCTGCAATGTGTCAGTCAATTGCAAAAAATAATATATATATATCTGTCTTGTGAAAAAACAGCTCTAGTTTAGAGCTGTGCAAGACAGACCATTAAGTTAAAAATAAATCTTCAGAACACAGTGCATCTGAACACAAATTGTTTATTACTGGCTATTTTATTTATACCAGTCATGGGATATTTAACTACTGACATGGGAACAGCAAAACATAGTTTTTAATTCTGGGTTTGGACAGCGATGCAAGAAGCGGCAGCTATGGGAATTTAGCTTTAAGACCACAGAGTATAGACTTAAACCCTAATATAGCTCCCCTGGAGCAAAACCAGGGGTCAGGATGCCACTGACGGTAGGCAGTGCTGGAACGCCCCGTTGCTGGCATTTTCATTAAAACTGCATCTTTGTCTGATTAAAACATACAAGCAGAGACACGTCGCTTTATAACACTGCTGTTGGTTGAGTTTCATCACTGGGACCCTTCATCAGGCATGCTGGCCCCGAGTGCTTCCAGAGCGCCCCGGCTGCAGATGTACCTTTTTTTTTAATGAATAATCAGATGTAAATTAACAACAGAGGTGAAAATTCAACCATGTGCTTCTCTGGTCTACCTAAAAGGAGAAGAAAGCAGCCATTAAGTTAATTTTAGTTACTGTTGAAGTAAAATAAAAATTTTAGCAGCGCCATGTAATCTAAACTGAGTGCCAGGCGCGTTCCCTTTTGATGTTTGTTGGTGTATATCTAACATCTTTCTGTTCTAAAATGTGACTGAAATGGTGACATCTGGTCCAAAGCCCATGCAAGGAATATTTGTAAAAGCTGGAGTTTTTATGAGTACAGCTCACATTAGCTAGAAGGGGAAAATACAGAAAAGGCATGGTCTTAATGGGCTCTGCTTTGCTCAACATTCATTCCACTTAAGTGAGGAAAATAAAAATTGAAAACCAGCCAATTTTTCCAATATTTTCCTGCCACCTTAGCCAACAAATACTATGCCTGTTGGATATGGTGATCAATGACTAATTACATTTCTGTGTATTTAAAGGTTAAAGTAATTAAAAACGTCAAATCTTTTCCTCTTTTCAATAAAAAAATAAGAAAACTGACCTCAGTTCTTGAGGGGATGAGGGGTGAGAGTTCTGTTTTACCCATGCACGGTCCAGTGCAGTAGTTTCAGTTCACAGAAGCTGCGAGTGGGCTCTGGGGCTAATTTGCACTTTTCTCTTATTACTTTCCTTAGCCATTAGGAAAAGCCGGCTCTCAGATGGAGACTGGAATACACTCCTTCCACTTCAGCCCCTCTCTGCCATTATTAATAGGAAGAACATTTTCCTGCTAATCATTTATATAGGTAGATAGATAGATACACCTCATATATTTGTTTTGCTTCCCATTCCCTTCTATTTTTTCCAGGTACAACTTGTTTGATCGCACTGTTGTCAGACAAAGAACTCACAGTGGCCAACGTTGGTGATTCACGAGGAGTCTTGTGTGACAAGGATGGGAATGCTATCCCCCTGTCACACGATCACAAGCCCTACCAACTGAAAGAGAGGAAGAGGATTAAAAGAGCTGGTGAGTCGTAACATTTTTGCTTTGAATTGAAGGTTCATCTTTTTTCTTCTCTACTCTGTCAATAACATAGACTTTTCCCCTGAGAGAGACTGAAAAGTACCAGACTGAGGCATCAACAGATAAAATCTCCCATTATTAATACAGCAGTTTTCAGTGGGATTTCATGGTGCAGACAGAGAAATGGAAGCAGATTGACCTATCCCTTAATAAGCCGGTGTCGGAGTAAGAACAGCAGCCTTCATCTTCAACAGCCAGTTGACCGTCCCGGCCAGTTCCCTTGTGATCTCTGCAGGGAGCAAATTAATAAAAAGGAGCAGCAGCATTACAGGCGTCTTCACACCAAACTATATCAGCAGCCTTTATGTGAGAGGCTGGGTCTGAAGCTGAGTGAGGTTTAGTTCCTAAAATAAGCAGAGCATGAATCTAATTCATCAAAGCTATTTTTTGTTCCCATGTAGTGACTGCTAATGAGCACAAACGTGTAAACAGTAGCAGGGGTATAGGGAAAGCATATAAGAAACCGCAACCTTTCCGCAATAAATCTTTCTTGCTTTCATCACTTGTCAGTTTAGCGACCTCCTGGGCTAGAAGTTACATTTGGATCATCAAGTTTAACAGCCAATTCTTCATGAATTTGTCAAAGTCTCTTTTGAACCCATTTCTGGTTTGGCTCCCACAGCAGCCTGCAGCAGCAAGTTATTTGATGAAGAAAAAAAGTTCCTCTCGTTTGTGTTAAACCTACCGATGAGCATTGCCTCCAGAGATGCATTGCCTCTCTGCCTCCACGCCTTCATCTGTAAAGTGGAAATAACAAGTTTTTCCCCGAGTATAAAACATTTTTAAAACCTACAGGTTATCAATATGCTCACAGCAGCATAAATGCCCATACATGCGCAATGTGCGCTTTCCTTTCAGTTTGCTTTTGTCGCCAAGGAGGCGTAAGAGCAGTGGGGATCCTTCCTTGCTGCTAGACAGAGAGCCAAGGTCATGTACGTTCCCCAAAGGGGAAGAAAAAGTATACAGATCCTAAGAAGAAGGAATAGGAAAGTCTTGGTCCCGCTTTGCTTCAACTCTGTACTTGGGGGATGGATCAATAAAATCTGGAGATTTTTCTATAAAATTGCTTCCCTCTTAGCCATGTCCAGGGCCTCTATGCAATTGTTCACTTAGAGAAGGCCTTCACTTAGGAGAAAAAAAATAATCTGGGTATTTCTTTTGTGTAGAAGTGAGGCTTTATAACACAGCAACATGAAGAATGAACCTGGATTTTTGCAGGAATTTCCAACTTTGGAAGAAATTATTTTAAAAGACAGGTAAATGTTATAACTATCTGCAGCTAAACAAGAAATATTCTATTGAGCCTAGCGACTTAATGAATTCACTTCTCTGTTACCTGTTGCCCCATTGTATTATCATGATTGATATGGCTTCATAGTGCTGTTAAAAACATACAATCCAGTTTATACTACTGCTGGATACTTTTACATTTCGGAACATCCCTTCCTTACATACAGTAAGTGTAAAATTGAAGCAAAGTGCCCAAACTGCATTATCAAGCCTACATTGCTACTGTGACAAAAGTACCTGACATTTTTCCACCATCCAGATACTTTCTTGTCATGTAGAACTGAAGAAAGCAACAATAACCACGTCATTATGTTACGTTTTGGTTTTCCAACTTTACCTTGCACCATCAAGCTGCACTGTCTCATGCCCTATAGGTAGTTATAAAATGACTGCACATTTGTGTTAGTAGGATTAGATTTCATTTAAAAGTGAAACCCATATAGCCACGGTTGAGAAAATAGCCTTCAAACCTCAGTCTGATATAAATCAATTTGAGGCAGCCTGAAACAGCAGCTCAAAGAAAAGCGTGACTTGCCCTGTGCATTTCAGCGGGGCGTTGACATTGGGATGACAAGTCTAAACTAATCCGTCATTTTTTGCTGCCACGGTGGACGTTAAGGAGGCTCGCTGCTTGCTGCTGTCAGCAGTCGGTGGATGGAGAATGAATTCAGTCCCTCTCTTCCCCACTCCCAGCAACTGCGTACAAAGTCTTAGTCAACCCACAACCTGAAAAAAAATTTCCGTTTATCAGTCCGATGTGTCTCGAGCAGCTCTCGCACTGAAGCCCCAGAAGCCAACGCTTGGGTTTCTCGTGGGAGTTCCTGCAGTGCAGTGAGAAGTCACTGGTACCCAAATGCCAAAAGGAGACAGCAGCTAAGAGAACAGGGCAGGGCCCTTGATTTTGAGCTGAGGTGCCCCATCCTGTGGAATTATCTGCTCTGCAGCATGGCTGTGCAGTTAACAGCACCGGTCACAGTGTTTTTGTCAAGACTGAGTGTTATTTTCACAAGAGGCTGGCTGACGCACGCTCACAAATGCTGCGGTGCCACTTGTCTCACACCTGAATGAGATCGGGTCCCACTACTCTGACTCGTTCCTGTGGGATAGGGGAATGCATGTCCTGTGACACAAGGATGCTGGTTTCCCCAGAAAACACAAGGAATCTCCTTCTGATCAAGAGCGTGAGTGATGTGTATAGTATCAGCGTTAGACAGTGGCCTTGAAACAACCGTGGTTTTGGCTTGTGAAGAAACATGCAGTTGCAGAACCACAAGGTGACTGTCACTGATAGAAATTTAAGTCATTCACCTTGAACATAATCCTTTAAGCTCAGCTCTCGCTAACATGCAAAATGTTTGTGCAGTTGCCAAAAAGCTTCTATTTCTTTAATGCCTTTTCTTCTCCAGTGGCAGCCAGCGCTGCGGAATGTTTGCTTTTCCATGAGCATTTTTATGTATTCTGTATGGATGGTTTTATAAAAGAAAATATTAGAAGTGTGAACAGACACTTCAGCAAACCACAGGAATTCAACTTGTGCCGTAGGCAGTTCCAGGTGCCACTTGAGAATGGCACCGAAAAGTCACTTTGTATGCGTAAGCACAACCTGCAAAGACTGGAGTAAACGCTGCAGCGAGTCAGCAGCATCAGCTATCTTCTCTGCAAGTACAGTGACGGGTGCAAGCATTGCTGTCCTCTAATTGTGTGTAAAATGTCTACTTAAAACTGCCTCTTCTTAATTGCATTTTGCTTCCCCTGTCATTCCAGTACATACACATGATTACACTCCAGTTACTATAGTCCTAATCGCTTATGAAAAAACCCCCTGTGCTGGTGAGTAGGTGGCTGTGTAACATTTAACCGAGGCACCCTCAAAACCTACAGCAGCAGCTGGACGGGGTTTGTTTGACTGCATATCTAAGGAGGATTTGCAGTAGGCTCACCAGTCCTTCCTTTTTTTCACTGTGGAAGGAAACGTCTTCATAATGGAGACTCCCTAGAAGTATTCATGAAAACATCCAGCTAAAAAGTTTTGTTTCTGCTGGTTTTAATGCAAAGCAAGTTTCAAGCTTTAAAAAACAAGGAATCATTAAATGAAATGTAGTTTTACCTGAAAGCAGAAGGAATTTACAGATTAGATCAGCCAACCAGGAATGGAAATGCAATCGTAAGATTTAGGTGACTAGCTGACTGACAAGTAATGGATAGACTGAAGTGCAGAGCTGAAAACATTCCGGTAACTACAAAGGACAGAGGCATTTATAAGAACACCAAAGCAGACAGCTTGCAGATATAAAAGACAGCAGTTCACCTAATTTTGTCATACATTTTCATGTTCCATGTTTGCAAATTATTTGTCCTCAAGTTTTTTCATTCATGTTAAAGACGACAGGAATATTGCTGTGAACCAGTGCAGACAGCGGCACGCAGATGCACGCACAGGAATTGAAGCTGCCTAATTTTTACTCTTTGACCTTGAACACTGTATGGTTCCCTCCCTGGCACAATCGGACTGTGTAATAGCCAGGTGCTGGCTGTGTCAGTCATCGATTTCAGTGCAAAACGTTTCTCACTATAAGCAACCCCTAAATAAAATATATATTTTCAACTAGAAGTAGCCTTAATCCTGGTGATGGTAAAATCAATCAGTCAGATCCCAGATTGCATTTTTTTGACTTGAAGAAAAATTTCGTGATTGGTTTGTTCAGAACAGTTTTTTGGTCCTTTCTGACACAGCTCATTCAAGGCAGTTTGATAGAAGAGCCTACAAACGTTTTTGCGCTTGCTTCTTTGCTTTATGCCTTAAAAGTGAGATGTGAGTCCTACTGCAGGGTGTTTTCAGCGTTTCCTTCATAGATCTTCTGAAATGAGGAAAATGTGAACTACACAGAAAAAGGAGGGGTTTCCTAACACAAGAATATAAAGATTTGCTTTCAGTATTCTTGTCTCAACATTGCCATAAGGCTTTCTGAACAGTAAGTTGTGTAGTACAGGAATACCTGTGTTCAGTGAGTTGTCGCTCTCACTGGGGGAGAGCATGCAGCTGCTTCATTTGAAAGCAGAGCCATTCCCGACTCCTCTGCTTCAGCTGTTTCAACAGCACTAGCAGCCACAATCCAGCTCTTCCCTGGAGCGCTCTGAAATTTACTTAAGGCATCTCCTGCTTTTTGAGATATGTAACATCTGTACGCCTCAGGATACTGCAGGATAAATTTTTGGGTGGGTCTGGCAGGAAGCCAGAGAAATGCTTTAACTTTAAAAAGAACTGCTTTACGTGTTGGTGTTTCTCTCCAGGTGGTTTTATCAGCTTTAATGGCTCCTGGCGCGTTCAGGGGATCCTGGCCATGTCCCGCTCGTTAGGAGATTACCCTCTGAAGAACCTGAATGTTGTCATTCCTGACCCTGATATTCTTACCTTTGACCTGGACAAACTGCAGCCTGAGTTCATGATCTTGGCGTCGGATGGTCTGTGGGATGCTTTCAGCAACGAGGAAGCTGTCCGATTCATCAAGGAGCGCTTGGATGAACCACACTTTGGTGCAAAGAGTATAGTTCTACAGTCCTTTTACAGAGGATGTCCTGATAATATAACAGTGATGGTGGTGAAGTTCAGGAATAGCAAAACAGAAGAACAGTAATTACTGGTGGTTCTCTGCCTCACTCTGAACTTAAAACAAACTCTTACATTTTAAACATAGTAGAAAGCTCTAGTAAATACCGTTAAGATCCTACACAAAAGGAACAGATCCCTCTGGTCTTTGTTCTTTGCTTAACAAAAGGAGCAATACAACAAATACGTTCTGAGTGATTATAAGAATTAAGTTTGTTCACATGTACCTGTCTCCTGTGACCTTGCCGCTCCTTAGAAACTAACTGTAATCTTCCAGTTCAGAATTTGCTTTACAAATCTTGTGTCGACTTTTCATTTGATTCCTTACCTCTCATTTCTAATAGTCAAAGGTTCATTCAGATGCACAGCAGGGTCAGGGCAGTGCTGCCGCTTAATAGCAAGTGATAGGAGCGATGCTGCTTTTCACTCGTAGGTGTGACTCTTCAGAACGATGCTCTCATGTTTCTCATCTCTTTTCCTCTTTGATCTGCAGTGATAAGGTTGTATAGGAAAAGGTCTGCGATTATTGGCCTGTCATTGATATGAAGGAGGAAGAGGAGCCAACTATTAGCCTGCTACCACCGAACTGGCTCTCTCACTTTGTTTAACCTCCCCCTCCCTTAAATAAATCCCCGCCAAGCATGTGATTAGGTAGAGTTACTGAATTACCTGAAGCCACATGTTTGTTCAGTCTGTGCATTACTCTAATAACATTTCTTCTATGCCGTATTGTATTCAAACCAACTGTTAAACTTCAGCAAAATACTCTGAGGTCTGATGCCTTCTATATCAAAAAATAGCTCTTTTGTGGTAGAAGAATGTCTGTCATTCACTGAGACTCACCCTTACGTTAGTTTTTTGGCATGGACTTTTCATAGGCATGTAAAGAAAGTAATGCAAGATAAAATTAATTTCATTAGTGACTGTTTGGAAAACTAATGAAAACAGGGCATTCCTTAGAGCTACCTAGGTGAAGTCAAGCCTATTAAAGACTTCCTTGTACCACTGCAGATTAATTTGTGGTGTTAATCCAGGGCAAGACCACTTTAGAACCATTTTTTTGGTATAATGTATAAATGCCAGGCAGTGTCATTGCACTGTGGAGATGAAAGCTTCTGTTAAGTCTAGATAAAAATATGTTTAGATCTAACTTTCAGTATTTAATTGTATTTTGGAATCTGTGACTACTGTAAGTTTAAACAATGACAGTCTGAGTTTGCTCTGCATCTGATAACTTAGCTGGCTGCTTCGTGATGAAGAGGCAGCAGTAGCAGAGTGACAGGGCAACGCGTGTTAGAGGAACAGAGCCAGGGCCCGAGTTGAAGGTTAGTATGTCGGATGGCTTGCTTACCCGTATCGTGTCTTACAACAATCCTTGGGATTCCCTTCCCACAAAACGTGGTCCTGGAGGATCCGCTGAAGTCTCATCTTCAAGGTGATGGAGGTTGTCAGTATTTGGGTCCTGAGGTGAATCAGGGATACAATACATTAACTAATCTTGTCTGTTTCTTGGGTAAAGATACAATATTACTTAGTTAAAAAGCTACCTGTTTCTCATCACCCACCTATAGCATTTTGGGCAAGTGGCTTGCTGGTCCCTAAAATATTGTGATGTGTTGTGGTTGTGCTGAGCGGGTGTGATGTCTGTGAAGACAAAAAATGAAAGAGCACAAATTCTGCTCTCTGCTCGAGAAGGAATTCCCACCTTAGTCTTTTCATTTTGCTTCCTAGGTTATCTCTTCCCCAGCAAACTTCCCTCCTTTAGTTTGTTTGGAGATAATTACAACTCTTAATTGGATCTGTTGCTATTACCAGTGCTATTCAAATTGTATACATGCCCTTTAGCAGCCTCTTCTCATCCCAGATGCTGAGTAGAGCCCCTTGACTCCGAGGAATAGACAAGTGAAAAGCAGAAGTATGAAAGTGTCCAGCATCCTCTGAAACCAGCAGGCACCCAGCCTGCACTGGTCCTTCCCCAGAGGATGGAAGGTTTTGGACTTTTTAAATCTCTTGAACAGTGCATTCAGTGAATTTTAAATGCAACTTTGCAGTTAAATTGAGCAGCTAACAGGAAACGTTAATAATTGCAGAGCGCTTCAGTTATTTTATTTTGAAAAGGTATTTGAGGTCAGAACGCTGTGAAATGAAAACCTTGTGTGATATTTTCATGGGAGTGCTTAATCATGTACTCATAATGCTAACAGCAGCAGTATCGAAACTGTGCTCCAGGCAGAGCTCATGGTGCATGTAGCGTTTGCCTTTCCTTTCTCCTTCACAGATGATGTTTCCATTGTACTGGCTTTTCTTTGTAGGACACTGCCTGGATGTTTGTCAAAACAGCTGCCCAGGGAAAAGAAGAGTTAGACCCAGCAGCCTATAGAACTCTAAAGCAGCAGGACGCTTGTATAGCAGAGACATCAATACTAATCCTTCACAGGCATTTGAGAAATGGTCAGCTCCAAAAAAAACATTATAGACTAATGCCACTTGAGCGAAAAGCTAATGGCAGCCACTAAGCTTCCTGCAGCTCACGTTCTCGAGGTTAGCGAGCGTTGCTGAGGGATGCCCGACCTTCCCCTGAGCACAGCTCGCTTGCTGGTTTCCCTGGCACTCAAGATAGACAGGAAAATGAGGTGGCAGGAATCGTACACACTCTCAAACTCCTGAAGCAGCTGTGAGGAAGCAGTGGGAGGATGGCTCACTCTGGAAGTAAGCCATGCTCACAGGATTTAGGAAAACACATAGTGCAATGCAATACAGAACTGTTTTGCAGACTTGTCTGGGTATTTATGCCAGGATTCATTTACTCTGTCACTCACAGGCCCACCCAGTCCATTACCGAATCAGCCCTATTTCAACCTTCGAGTGTCTGCAGTTGCAACAATAGTTGGTTTAGCACCTTCAATTTTCTCTGCAACACTCCCCCCTTTGTAGTAGCTCTTTCCTGGCCAAAGACATTCATGCCAATGCTCTCTGGTAAGGTTGTTGACTTTTGTCTTTATTACTTAAAAAAAAATAGTTACAGGTGCTTTAGGTTTAAAGATGAAGGACTAATGGAGATGACAGGCTTTGCGCAGTCTTCTACATCCATGTGCAGTGCCTCCCTATGCTCCCTGCTAGAAGTCTTCTAAGAAGTCTTTAATCCAGTTCTAGACATCTGTAACTTTCCAGTCATGCTGATCTGTGCCAAATTCTGTTGTGATACATACAGCTGTTGGATGACAAGATTAAGTAATGTACGTATTGCTTATGCAACCTAAACTATCTAGGGTTTGATCCTCCACTGCCTTAATAATATATCGTACATCTGGAAAGAGTTGCCGGACACTGTAGCCAGAAATCTCCCCAGGTACGCTAGAGCAGCGTGGCAGAACGCGCTCCGGCATCAGAGAGGCAGTACTTCCAGCACGCCATCCTCAGTGCTGCTTTCCTGCCTGGCACCTCTCCAAAAAAAGGGAGATGCAGTTTGGTTAAAGCGGCTTGCACACACCCGAGAGCTCCCTCTTGCCGTACGTGTTCATGGAAGTTTTCTGTTAAGCCTGAGTAGCTCCATTGGTGACATCTGTTCATCAGGCAAGAGCATCACATGGCAGAAAACTGATACGTTAAGCTGCTGCCACAGCACATCTTTCGTATGGTCCGATATGAAAAAACGTACCTTGCAATTACTCAGCTGATCCAGTACTTAAAAAGAATTTGGGCTCTTCCCAGTGGTATTACAAGCTAGCAGTTTAACTCACGCAGTACGTTTTAAAGATACCACCGTTTAGCTTTGTATTCTGATTATAGACTACCGTTTAGTTTATCATTCTGATGATACACTAGTGGGGTTTTAGAAGGGCTGTTCATTCGTGTAACGGAAGGGCTGTAGCCTTCACCGTTCGTAGCTCCTGCGGGGATCCCCAGTCTAGGTACCAGCCCGGTTAGGTGAGGCCATAGCTCCGTCTAGCGGCTGGCCTCAGCACGGTAACCACGCAGTATTCGTTACAGCTAATAGTTGCTCTCTTAGCCCGTGTGAAAAATGTGCGTGACGTCACGTCCCCCTTGTCCCTTGTGCAGAAGTTAGCTATGAGGTTAATGCAGACCCGTTCGGTTGGGCTGAATTTTACAGCAGTGCTGAAGCCGTGCAGGCTGAACGCGTGCATCCCCGGACACGGCTGAGAAACGCAGATACTCAGCTGCTAAAAACGCACGTGAAAGTTTGGCAGACCACAGTCCTGCCCAGCATCCCCCGCCAGCTCACCCCCCGCCCCCCCCCGCACGGGTGTCTTCACAACGTTGGTGAATGCATTTTAAATGCTTGTTTGTGGGATCCACGTTTGGCAACAGTGCGGCTTACGCAGGCCGCAGCCATCCAGCTTAGGAGAGTCCAGAATTCATCCCTGGTCTCGGGGGTGGCAGGAGACGCTATTTTATTTCGTATAAAATGTACGCCACTTCTTTTGTTGCGACATCCAGCACTAGTGGTCTGGGCATATTGACCCTGTCTCATGGGGGAGGGATGGCCACAGACGACATTGTGAGGACTGCGTCAGCGCTGTAGTCCTAAAATTTCTAAAAATTCAAAATTTGAAATTAGTGAGCCTGTTTTACTGAATAGAATGTTTGGATAAATATAAATAAAGTAAATGCCATCTAACATCATGAAGTATTGTCTACTGCCTTGTGAAGGCAAGGTCAGTACCAAAACTATTGCTAATGTTATTACAGTATTATACAATTTATGTAAGGTAAAATTAAAACAAAAAAAAAAGTTGTGACTTTTTAGAATACAGAAGTTAGTACTAAAGCACTGCATCAGCTTGAAGTAACAGTGTTTGCTACATAAACACTAACGCTGCATCTTGAAAATAAGGGAGTTTCGTTGTTCAGCTGCCTCTCAGAATATATGCCATCCTTGCTTTAAGCAATATTAATATATTTCTAATGTATCTAATACTCATTTTACACAGAGAAACATTTAGTAAGTGATTATACTAAAGAAGAAAAACCCGCACCAGCCTTTCATTTTCTAAAGTAGGTTTTTAGGCCTCCATCCGGAAATCTGGCTGTACAAAATTGCAAGGTTAAAATTTAGAATGTTCCGCTGAAGTTTGGCGGAACTGTATAGACCAGAGCTGCTGCCCCTCAGTGTTGTCAATATATTTATAAATTATCTTTCTAAACCTGAGGACTCATCTCTAAAAAGATATATACAATTAATATCGATTTGAATTTTAAATCACTTTTATTTATGTAGTGCTGACTATATAAGGCTTAGGTAAGCAGCTGTTTTACATATAGTTTTCCCTTAGATAACTTAAAGGTCCAGGTATCGGTCATCTCTAGTTATATATAATAGTCTAGATGCTCTGTTAAGCAAAACGTGTGCAGTCAAAGCAGCTGAAGCCTATCTAAAACCATAAATAAAGAGGCTCACATCAAAAGCAGTTCTTGAGTAAAGTTCTGAAATCCACTTTTATGAGTAGGTCAGCTCCTATGTCTGGTCTGCTCAGTCTTAAGGAAGAGCTCCGAATTAGTTGAGCAGTAGGGAAATAAAGCACTTTTTCTGCATTTAAAAGACCAACCCTGTATTCCTTTAAGCCTGTGGAGTGCATCGGTACTTCTAGGGACACAAATGCTCAGAAATCTACTTCAGCCTCTATTCCAAGTTAATTACATGAATAATCGGTTATAACCGATTATTTTAGAAATCTAAATGCGGGGCTGTCAAACATTGCTCTCTGGGAATTCCTACACTGTATTCAGGGGTGCAAGAGCAGTACAGATGAAACTGTACTTTATCCGCACTTGCTTTAATCTTGGTAGTAACAAGAGTGATGAAGTCAAGCCGTGTGGGCTGACGGTCAGATACCTGCTCGGCGTCCCCATGCTGCCTCTGCCCCGGGAAAGCAAGCTGGCTACACGTAGAGCGAGGTTGCTGCTGTGCCTCTGCAGATGCGCTCCGTCAGCTTCATCTGTTGTTGATGACAGGAGACTCTCACACCAGAACTGCCACAGTCCATCTGTCATTTTTAAATTTTCTCCTTCTGGTAAGAAAAACTTAGTTATGTTAAAAACATAATTCATTTGGAAAAAGTTCTTTGGAGTTAGTTCCATTCTGTACCAAATCTCGACACTGCTCTTTGGGAAACTGTTCCTATATGCAGAAGCTAGGTACAAAACGTAAGCAGTGGTTAGTAATGCTGGATTTACAAATGAAATCCATTTTTTTTATAAATTTCAAACCCATCTACCTTTAACATGGCAAACTGTAACAATCACGTAACTGTTAACTACAAAGTTAACAGGAGCAGCATGTGGAAAAACAACATTAAAACCCATATTGTGTGAATATTACCCTGAGCAACTGTAAAACCACTTCTACCCAGTGCATTTGGAAATGCTAAGAAACAATTGAGACAGACTCGTTATGAAAACGAACCACACGTTTAGAACTCTGCGAGGGCAGGTCGGAGCTTTATTAACAAAAATCCTACACAACACAAGATAACAGAACCACAATGTTTAAGCAATCCATCTTGGTTAAAGACAGCTTTCATTTAGTACAACACGCCTGTGTTATCGTAGATAAGAGCCTCTTCAGGCTTCTGCTTGTAACATTTTCTTCACTCGGAGCCAGAAGAGTTTTTAAGATTTTATCTTTATTGCAAGCTCAGGGGAGGCTGCACTTTACTCCTAGGTGGAGGACCACCGCAGGCAAAGCATTACTGACAGGAGCGGCTAGGACGTCAGGCTGAGCCCCATCCCAGTCGGGATGGACGCAACCCCTACACACCATCGTCTCTCACACTGTAAAGAAAACTCATTCAGATAATTCGGATTAATGTGGCCTGGAAAATTAACGTGCTGCACAGCAACTGTCAGAAGGCTAGAGGAAAACAGAGCTCAGATATATAAACCATGTCAAGAGAGGTCGTTTGGGGTAAACTTTGTATTTTTAAGTTCTTATTTTATAGGAGGAAAACTAAGTCCCAAAATCCTGTAACTGCAGGTGAGACAAACTGCGCTGTTAACACAGGCGGTATTTCCTCATATGAGTTGTAGGTCGATGCTGCTTTTTGCTAAGAATCACTAACAGCAGCATTTCAGAGAGGCTATACTTTCTTTAGCCCTGTGAAAGAAAGCGGCTTTGTGATTTTTAGAAACCCAATATGTAAATAGAGGGGGGTGGGTTTGGTTTTGTTTTACAATTTTAGTTTTCCTTAAAATGTGGACTCAACTACATATGGGGGGCAGGGGAAATAATAAGTAAACTCAACCATCTGCTTAGCTTCATTTTAACTTTGTTTTCTTTCCTTCCTACGTGGAGTACTTGCATTTGGATGTGGTTTACAGCTTAACATGCAATACACAGAAACTGCATTAAAACCTGACAAGCTTAATTTAAGACTGCAGAAAGCTTTACAGCTCTCTCCCTACCACCTCTATCTTAAGCAAACTGTGGAGTACTTCATAAATGATCAAAATGGTACACGCTAGTCACATAAAAATGGAGATGAATGAAAATTTGAACAATAGGGAGCAAAGCTCTGCCTCCCAAACTCCTTCAAGATACCTGACATAACCAATAGACACTTCTCAGGAACTCGGTGTCACACTGTTTGGTTAACCTTCCATCAGTTTCTAGTTTAAATTTGAAAGAACTATGATAAAAATCCATTATTTACTGTGCATCCAGGCATTCGTGACTGAGTTACAATGAACTTGCATTGAAATGCTTTAGTAGTAACTAGAAAATGTAAGACAAAACTTAGGAAAATATTCCAAACCATCTATGTCCTGTTAATCCTGAACTGATCGTAGAGAATAATGCCCCTAAGTTTGCAGCACATACTATTGCATGGTTTATTTTGAATTTGTTTGTTCTAGAATGCACACAAAACATATAAGCATTTTGATTTTTTAACTCTTCTGAAATAGTACACAGGCAACACGGGCTTGAAATTTTACATTGTCAACCCCTTTTGCTATCCACCCAGCAGCAGTTTCCAAACATCTTTGACCAATGGATCACTGTTAGGCTTTTCAAGTCAGAAAGCCCCACAATTATCAAAATCACAAGTGCTTGAATTCTGATTTAATACAGCTTTCTGAACCACTTACCTGCATGAGAAAAAGAATCTTAGCATTTGGGAAAATCTTAGCCTGTGGTTTAGGCTTCGGTTTTAGTACAATACTGTAGGCAGATGCAATAAAGTTTGGGCCCACCACTGACTTAAATGCTTCCATTAGTTCACAGTCTGGAGCTTTCTTTACCTCTTGCATGGCTGCTCACACTAGAAATGTTCCTGATATTTGCATTAAGCAGAAACTTTAGCTTAGTTATGAATTTTTATGGTCTTTTAAGCAATAATTAGGTCAGACCCAAATACAAACCAGATTTAAAAAAAAAAAAACAAAAACAAAACCAACTCATTTCCAAAACAGGAGCAGGAATATTTTACAATGTAAATTTCTTGCAGAATTGATGTCACTTTAGATTACAATTTCAGGTGGCATAAACAGATCACTGTGTATAAACCTACATTTGTGAAAGCAAAAGCCTGTAATCTATGATCAGTGTTATCATTCTGGGGCACAAATATAAAAAATACCTTGCTTGGTGACAGTTGCATTTTTATTGCAGTCCTGCACAGCCATTTCTCTGTGATATACTTGTTTCTTACTCTCTCAACAGGAGCACTGTCTGCTTTATCTATCCAGTTTCTGAAGATTGCATCGTCTTTCATAATTACATTTTTTTGAAAAAGCAATACAAACTGTGCTGTAGTATCAGTGTTCTTGTGACAAATAATTTATTTCTAAACATTCAACATGGCAGGCTTATAAGAAAAATATGGAGGGTTTGTTTTGTTTTGTTTTTTAAGATGTATAAACAATCAAAGAACAAGTTAAACGCTTCTCACAGAGCTCTCAGGATCTGACCACAGTACAGCAATCAAATAACAGATCCTAAAACCATAGGAACAGCTGTAGTTTTACCTCTGTTTCTAGAAATACAATAGCATTCTTCCCTCAGTTATGCAGTACTGTATCTTTAGCTATTTAGTTTAACAAACAAAATCCATTTTTGAAAAACTTTGACCTTCTTAACATGCATTGTTAGAACGCTGACATCTGAAATACTTGTCTAGAGAGTATTCTTCCCAAGACCTCATTTTTATACCTAAAAAACCCCACATGCTGTAATTCTAACAAAAAACCATGTGCAGTTGTTGAAAAGATAGCAAAATTCAATACTGACCATAATCACAATGTAACAAAAAAACTGGTGAAACCTCAAACTTGGTACTAGAGGTTCCTGCACCTCTTCTAATTTGTCTCTAAGAGACTATCTGAAAGACAGCCAAATGTAAATATATCATAACATCTTAGCTGTAGTACAAATAAGGTGGCAGTGCTCTGTCATTCTAGATGTACAGGATGTAACTATAGTATCTTCACCGTGTAGTGGATGTGTCAAGAATAATTATGTTAATGCAATTGCAAATTCTATATTGTTGTCTATTAGAAGTGTAAACTACTGAAAACTTGGCCTTGCTGGTATGAATAAAGTGATTAAAATATCCATCTTTACAGATATAGTAGAGTTTGTCTTCTTTAAGAAATACGAATCTTAGAATTTCTTACTTTTTTTATTTGAAAATTTGAAGAAAGAAAACTATTTTAGAAACAAAGTCACAATATAAATGCATCTGTTCTAATCTTCCCTGTGTGGTTCCAAAACTCTCGGGATGCATCAGTACACACGTATGTGTGCACAGATGTGGGGTTTGAATATCCCGATGTATTAGAGATGTCTAGTAACTAAACTGCACATGAACTCTGCTGCATCTACCCCTCTAGTAGCCTGTGAACATTATCAAAGACACGAAAGCAATTCTATTTTATGCGCATATAGATACACCTAGATATACACATACAAAGTGCATCACGTTTTCAGAACTTCCCATCAGCTTCTGCGGACCCCGCAAGATCCACAGGCTTGTAACACTCTCAGAATGATTACAGAGGTGATATGTTTAAATAAGGTGTAACACTCTCAGAAGGATTACAGAGGTGATATATTGAAAGAAGGTGGTTGTTATTGGTTTCATGCTGGGCAAAGAACAAATACTCAAGAGCAGCAAAGGATGACACGGTTGCAAAAACAATTTAAAAATTCCAGGTAGGAATTTGGGAAGCATCTTCAAAGCTGGTTTCTTGGCATAAACATTATTCCTCGGTGACATTTCACACATTCCAGAAGACTCGCGTAGAAATCACGTGGTTACAGCAGACCACGTGGAGAAGTGTCAGAGGAAGACAGGACAGTGTATTCCCAAGTATCCTGCATGCGTAGGATACATAGATGGAAAAGTGTTTTGTGAATGCCTAATATTTTTATTTAAGAATATTAGAATGTCCCAGAGAAAAGCTGCCACTGCAGTTTTGCCCCAGCAGGACAGCCCTCCTTCAGTCGAAGTCATCTCTGTAACTGTTTTTGTTTTGTGTTGCCCTATACTTTAAACGTTTTTACACCAAACAGGTTTAAGTTTATATATTAATATAGAATCAAAGGCAAGTAACTGAAGTGTTTGATGACAAATCCTGCCAAAACCCGATTATTTCACTTGATGTAATGCCATGTACTGCAATCAAATGTCTATACTTACAGATATCAAAATTAATTTTATAAAGGAAGAATTGTTGTTTATCTTCTGGAATACTGATGTTCACTTTAAGTATATTTAAGCAAATTCCAACATAAACATCCTCAAACTTAATAGGTTTGATATGACTCATCAGTTCATAAATCCTCAGAGCCAGTTTTCCATCCAATATATAACCCATCCCACTGCAATATGGAGGATACAACTTGAATGGATATTCATCATAAGAGATGTATGTTTTTTTGTAAAAGCCTCTGTAGGCGAAGTTACCTATAAGAGGATAACCAGTAAAAACATTTTCTGAGGAATTTAGCTTCAGAAGAAATTTTACCAAGTTAGCGGTGTTGATGAAGACATCAGCATCAGTCTTCATGAGGAATCTCGCATTTGAACAGAACTCAGTGACCCACCTAAACGCCATGATCGTTTTCAAGGTGAGATTGTCATAAGTGTCCATAAAATCTTGGCGAATTATGTCACCATAGAGGATGCTTTCATCTTCTACCGACAGTGCTGCGGCATTGTCTTCTCTTTGAGTGTCCTGACCTAATAAGAACAGGGTCAGAATTCGATGTCCCCACCAGAAGTTTTGAGATCCCCATGTTATCCTGATGGCCTGCCTTGACTTCACATCCTTAGGACTTGAAGACACCAAGATGACTAGAAACGGATTTATGTCTTTGCATTTCAAGCGCTCCCGCAGTGTGAAGAGGTAGTGTTGCTTGTAAATTGGTTCATATTCATAGAAATACATGAGGTTTGTATGCTCAATCACAGTGTAGGAAGAAAAAGTTACGTACCATATTGTTATGACAGAAAATACAAGGAGAAACAAAAAAATCCATTTTAATGTTCTTATATGCATGACACTACCTGGAACTGGGCAATAACTAATCTGCAGAAGTGCGTCAGTGACCTTCAAAATCTGTACCACAAGTTCTGAAGCACGTTTCTTGCTAAAAAAGAAATGAAAAAGTAGTATTCAGAATGCTGTTATTCAAATATTACCTTTTTCTTATCTTGTCCAAAGTGTCAGTTGAAAGCATGCTATAATGTAATGAAGACAAAACCAAGATTCATTGGTCCAGCTGTTGTACACCATGGTCCAGCATCCTGTACACCACGAATCAATGCGCGAGCAGAACACTGAGCTGATACTGAACATGGTATGGATTGAAACCTCGTAGCTTGCACCTTGGAAATTTCCCATACGTAAACCTGATCACTGCTAAAGATCACACGTCAAGCATTGTGATCCCAGAGATCTCAGCACAATGTCTTCGACTCAAATCTCAAGGAAGAAATACTGTGCACAAAATCTAATGGCTACAAAGTACTCAGCAAATTGATGTTCAGAGGCTTCAAAAATTTGTAATTTATTTCAAAGAAAGGAAGTCCTACTAGCTTTTATAAGCTGGAGCAAATCAGCCAAGAAAGCAGGTAAAAAGAGAAGTACAAGCAAATATTTCGTCCCTCATTTAAGGGTCGAGCAGCTACTCGTTCTGAATTGACTGAACAGGTGATGGGGGGAAGAGAAAAATCAACATCCTTACGAGCTGCAGACACACAAAGACAAACGTATCTTGACAGACAGACTGCGCTCTTACACTGCCCAAAGAAATGGCTACTCCCACAACACACAACATTATACAGTAATCATTTATTTTCTACTATGTGCTAATTAAATCAAGTGATTTAATAAAGGGGCATTGCAACCAATTTTGGGAGCAGCAGAGAATCCACTGCAGCAGACGAGTTTCAAATCTTGAAGAAGTTTTGCAAGTTTTTCTAATCTTTTCCATTTAAATAAACAAGACACTACAAAATCCTCCTGCTACTTCCATCTATGTAAGTTTTAAAGAAGAAAGAATCCCACCTGCACTATTTTCATGAAATGTCTACAAAAATGTGACATATTCGCTCAGCTCCACCAGGCATGCCACACAAACCAAAACCAGCAACATCAGCACAAGAGGTGGAAATGAACCAAAGCCATTTTTTGGCTAGAGACACACATCTTGGTCTGGAGTCCAGTCTACATGGACAGGTACTTACAAACCCCCGTGGAGTCCATGCTGAAGATGTGTCAGGACTAGATATTCAAATCAATACATCTTTCCAAAACTAAATATAAAAATAGAATCTCAGTCCTCTACCCTCCATTTAACAGTCCTTGCCTTTACTGTATTTCTTTAAAACTACATACGCTGTGAACATATATTAGATACCTTTAAGCCAAAACAATTACAGTGGCTCACTGTGGGAGTTCCAAACGATTTCTAATGTTTGCAGTAATAATATTTACCCTGCGCTGTAAAGTATCCACAAAGACAAAGTAAGGACAATGGAAGGTTCAATTTCACAGTGCAATTAATTACTATTTAACTTATCTTCAAAATGATCACCGCAGGGCTTGTAAATGTTTTATATTAAAAAAAAAAAAAAATCCAAACCCCAACACAGCACGTTAGAATTTAGGTGAATTTGATTTGCCAGAGCCCACCTGCCTTGTAATTCTGTGTACGATTTGACTTTAATTTAATGATCCTTTAACGGAAGCATTTGGAGCCCACTTCACCAATGATGCGTAGCGCATCACTTAAAATGTATTAAAGCAGTTTTATACAAATAGCTATTCAAATAGAAGAATTTCAGACTGATCCCTCTCAAAGCTGCGTTACTCCAAAAATACTGTGTGGCTAACAGGAGTCAATCCTTCATTAAAGGTACCTCACATAACTGCAGACGAACAAGTGAGTTTTATTAAGAACTTCCTAACGTGACCAATGGTCTTTCCTAGCTTGTAAAAACATAGAACCTCGGAAGTTTTATGTTGATTCCCTTCTTTTTCTCCACAAGGATTAAACACATGCAAGTATAACAGAATAGAAGTTTGGCAAATGCAGAGGAAACTACCATCAGGACTGTTCAAACTGCGTTTAGGAAAGTTGATTATAACCACAAAAAACTCAGATTTGCCAATCTGGTATTTATGTCCTGGCTTTACGGGAAGAAAAAAATAATAAAAATGCTCAATTCTTCTCTCTTTATATATACCTGCCTGACTTTCAGTGAACAATATGAAAAATACATACAGGAAGAAAATAACCTAAGTTATATATCAGTGCTTATGCATTTGATTTCATTTCTCAGGGTTTGATGATCAATTTAAAGTAAAAGCACATCAAAGTTTGATCAGTTCTTGACTACCTAATGGAAAAAATATCTGATTATAAGGATTTTGATTCTTTATGGACAGAAAAGCCTGATTACATGACATTTTGAACAACAGAATCGGAGACTAATGCCTGGTCTGCTACATAATGAAAAATCTGGGAAAATAAATCATCAATTCAGGTCCTTTGCCCACACTATGCAAAACACAATCTTAAAGCTACCATATCCTTATGAAAAGCATGCACTACAGGGCATCCAGGACAAGCACTGTAAAACGCTGTTTTGCTGCATGACTCCTGAGGAGCTAGGAAGCCCAGTCCCCACAATCCCTGCTGTTCTCTTCCCTAAGGTCACATTCCTCCAGCGATATGCTAAACCATTTGCAAGCTAGCATAAGTTCACCAGAACATGGCTTCTATAATGGTCATGGGGTAAAAACTACACTCCCCAAAACATGAGACAGCTATTTCTGCAGCACTGAGAATTCAAAATACAGGCAGTCATCCTCCAGCATCATTAAGCACAGAACTCTGACTTCAAGCACACATGGAAAAGAATAGAAGGGCAAATCAAACGGGAAACCCTAACCACAGCCCTCAACAGGAAAATCCCCTTCTTCTCCCATTTCAAATGCTTAAACCGAAGTAATGAGGTTGAAGGAGTGAGGTCTGAAAGTTGAGCTGGCACTTTTGCTCAGAGTTGGTGCAGTTGCAGACCTTCCAGCTACAGCCAGGACAGGTTCTCCACCACTTCCAGACTTTACTTGCCGGCAGTTTTTGCCTTCCAGTTGTACCACGGCGGCATGGGATATGCAGCAGGAGCAATACCAGGTCAAGAACTGCTCCTTTCAGGGAAATACGTTCATTTGCTTCCAAGCTCACAGCTTGCTGGCACGACACGATAGAGTCTGAGATTATGCTGACAGATAAAACTGATCAACTTTAAAACAAATGTAAGAAAACATGTACTGAGCATGCTCTATAGTAATTTTTCACACTCTGCTATACCTAGGCAATTCTTGAGTGCAGACATTCTTGACAGGAAAAAGGTGACAAATTCTCATATTCATTAAAGTCTAATAATTACAATAACCAATGGATAGTCCAATTTAAAGATAAAAAAATACCATATTTATAATGTTAGATGTGTAGAAAAATAAATCCTGTTTTTTTTAAAGCTACCAGCAGAAATAATTTGGAAATATATTACTGTTCCTGGCTTCTCATTTTCTTCATTTGGCTTACTACCAATAGAAACTAGAGTAATTTTTGCAAGATCCTGGGCTATGATGATCTAATATCACAATATTTTAAAAATTATTTTAAACAACCTTTAACAACGACTTGCTCTCACTTCAAATCGCTTAATTCTCCGTTCTAGGCAACTTTCCACAACGCATAGATTAATTAAGAGGTAACAACCCAAAAGGTAGAATTCATTAAGAGGAAATCTACTGCCCCCTGCTGAAACCATATAAAAATTTAAAGCCATTTAGCTGTTTTCTATCAAAAAAAAAGGAAAATACGGTGACAGAAGAGTATTTTGTATTCATACACGAGGTTCTCCCCCGCACGCAGTTTCCAGAGCTCGCTCTTTCTCCCCAGCACACCTGTAAAGCGCTTCGCTCAGGGCGGGTGCGCCCCTTCCCTCGCTGCCCCCGACACCGCCGCCTCACGACATGCCGGGGGCGGGCCCGCGGGCGGCCGTCTCCTCCCGACCCGCCCTCACGGCGTTAAATGGCGGCGCCACG